ACTAGGCAGGTTAGGGTAATAAGGCAAGTTATTGTATAACGATGGTTTGTTCTGTAGACTATCGGAAAAAAAAAGTTTTTACCTTAAAACGTTTTATTTATTTATTTTTTTATTAAAAACTGCTTTTGTTCTAGCCGAAATAAAACAAACAAGACTTTCTACAGAACAAAAAATATTATCAGTCATACTGTGAACATTTCCTTGCTTTGTTAAACATCATTTGGGAAATATTTAGAGAAGAAACAAAACTAAAAAGGGGGCTAAAAATTCTAACTTTGTGCCCTCGTGTTTGCAGTGTAAGCAGGTAGATCTTCATCTGTCAATGAGAGACTCAAATCATTTCATATGGTAGCGAATGACATCAACTCTGATGCTTTAGCTTTTCAGAGGGAGAGCACAACATGTACCGTATAAACAATATAAAACTATTTTATACATCACGTGAGCAAACTATTCCATTGGCTGTACACGTTATGGTGCCCAGTCCTGCTGCTAGAGACTTTTGTTTCAAGAGTTCACACTTAGATATTGCTTAATAATAATAATAATAATAACAGATTTAGCATGCTGTCCCGGGAGAGAACCCTAAGCTCAGAGATAATTGAGCCCAGTGCTTCTGCCTGGTCAATGAGCATGTAAGAGGGTACAAGATCAGGTAGTTCTCGAGAGGTCCTGGTAAAGGAGGAAAGGGGGAGATGGGGTGGATGAGGGGATTCTTTAAAAAAAGAAGATGAGGGAGTAATGCTAGTTGGGTTATTTATAGTGAGTCTGGAATGATCCGACTGGCTTACTAATGATTACAGAGAGACAAGCCCCGATCAATCATATCATGTGCTCCTCTCTAAATTAATTAGTAAAACTTCACTTATTTTTCATTTCCTGAAGAAAAAAATCTGTCATCATTTATTCAACCTCCAAGGCAAAAAAAAGATATTTTGTTGGGATCTGAACAGGTGATGGCCACTGTAGATGACTTCCAGAGTAGGAAAATACAATATGGAAGTCAAGTCAGTGGTGACCAATCATTCTGGAAGTGAACTACTCCTTTAATTAGTCCTGGATGGCTGTCTCGCTCTAGTCGATGCTAATGATTTGTGTATGTGCCAGAATCAAAAAAATAAGTCTATATTGACTAAACATTTTCACTTCTTGGACTGGTTGTTCCAAAAAAAAAAAAAAAAAAAATTAAAAAAGATCTACTCTCAAATAGTGCCTCTATTCATTCAACAAATGGTGGCCTGAACTATATCTGTCTCTTTTTCATTTCAGGTTTGGTAATGATTTTGGTAAACATACAGCAGGAGTCTCTGTTACATCCTCCTTATCAGCCTGTCTTTTGGCTGTGATGGATTGCGTACTAGTAGAGGAAGTCGTAACCTTCCAGCAGGACTAAGCTCATCCTGTCTGCTCAGGCAGTTCTTTATTCATTATCACTGACAGCAAATGACTATCTGTTATTGATCCTTTTACAATGTGACTGAAACTTGACTAGGTGTGTGTGTGTGGGTGACATAATTGCTTCTAAATCAGATCTCTTGGAAGCTCATTCACACACACTCACACATTCTTTCTCTCTTGTGTGGTGGCTTATTTATTGAGTGATGCATTAACAGTTCATCCTCATGCATATTTCATAGAGAGGTACACATGCAGACACGTACACAAAGAAGCATAAATTGCATCAACTGTCTACATTGTCATTTTTTTCAAGGCAAGTATTATTGTCATTTCATGAATACAATGAAAAAAACATTGCCATTCACTGTTGGTTGCATAATATTTCAACGGTGACAGGAATTTGAACTTATGACAAAATAGAAAGAAATATGAATAGTTTAGAAAATGCATGCAAATGTAAATTTGAGATTGTACAAACAACAAGAACCAGATTGTGTTTCACTTTAGTTTTACTACACTACCTGACAAAAGTCTTGTCAGTGATCCCAGTTGTAAGAGCAACAAATAATAGCTTGATTTCTAGTTGATCATTTGGAAAAGTGGCAGAAGGTAGATTTTTCCATTGAATCATATGTTGATCTGCATCCCAATGATCACAAATACTGCAGAATACCTTTTGGAACTCGCTTGTACCCAAGATTCTCAGAGAAATCAGTCAAGTTTGGTGAAGGAAAAATCATGGTTTGAAGTTGCATACGGTATGGGGGCTTGTAAGAGATCTGCAGAGTGGATGGCAACATCAACAGCCTAAAATATCAAGACGTTTGTGCTGCCCATTATATTGAAAACCACAGGAGAGGGTTTCTTCTCGTACTTCACTCCTTCTCATACCTCGGCCTCCACATCAAAGTTCCTGAAATCAAAGAAGGTTAAGGTGCTACAGGATTGGCCAGCCCAGTCACCAGGGGTAATATGAAGGAGGAGACATTGAAGATGAATCCAAAGAATCTTGATAAACTCTGGGAGTCCTGCAAAAACACTTTCTTTGCCATTCCAGATGACTTTATTAAGTTATTTGAGTCGTTGCAGAGATGTATGGATGTAGTCGTCCAAGCTTATGGGAGTCATGCACAGTATTAATTATTTTTCCACTGCAGCATGACTTTATATTCTATACTGAACATTATTTCTGTTAAGTGACAAGACTTTTGTCTAAGCAAAATCAGACCTTACTGTCCTAATTAAATCATTAAAAATCAAAGCATAACCACATTTTATTTTGGTAAAATAAGCGTAATCTAGAGGCCTTTGGCTTTCATATAAGCCACTTCTGATACCAAATGATCAACTAGAAGTCAAGATATTTGTCATTTCTAAAACTTAGATAGACGACAAGACTTTTGCCTGGTAGTGTAAATGAAATATATTAATAGTTTATTGTCTAGTTACTGTATATTCCGAACCCTTCTTCACAGTTCTAACACACTGCATTGGTCAAGGAAATTATGTCTTGTTTTTACATGCACAAATTAACACAAATTTACTATAAAGATTATCAAATCCTGCTAATTGAAATAGAGTTCTGCATTGTGATGTCAAAACCAAAAAAGATGCTGGTTCCTTTCACATTTGCTAATGAGGTTTTCAGTTCATGAGCTAAAATAGTCAAAGCTTTTTAGATGGCAAATTTCAGATACCAAAAGAATCTACAAAGAAATGAGGCTATCATTTAAATTTCCTAGCTTAAAACACATTTCACAACGCAAAACAACTGCCACTACAGATTGTAATGTGGATTTACGTGTACTTTGATTACAAAAACATTCAATTCAATTCAATTCAATTCAATTCAGCTTTATTTGTATAGCGCTTTTACAATGTTGATGTGTCAAAGCAGCTTCACATAAATGGTCATAGTAACTGGAACAGTGTAGTTCAGTTTTTAGTATTTAAGTTCAGTTCAGTTCAGTTTAGCTCAGTTCAGTGTGATTTAAAATCATTACTGAGAGTTCAAACACTGAAGAGCAAATTCATCGATGCGTATCCTGAACCATGCGAGTTAGTGGCGACAGTGGAGAGGGAAAAAAACTTCACCTGATAGAAGTCAAGAAAAAAAAACCTTGAGAGAACCAGACTCAGTTGGGCACGACCATTTTAATTTCTCCGCTGGCCAAAAGTCTTGTGCAGAGCTTCAGTTCGGTGGAAGCAGGCGTCAGCGAAGACACGTCTGTCCCTGGAGCGTCGCTGGAATCAGACTCACGTTCTCCACTCCCCATGACCATCAGCGCAGCAGCAGCTCAGGATATGGCCTGGTCCCGGAAATGGAAACCTTGGGATCATCTCGTCGCTGGAAAAAACATGCGTGTTAAATATAAATTACTGATACATTTAATCCTACAACATAAACTGCACATTAGGCATGGGATGATAGCCGTTTTCAAGGTATACCAGTGTTTGGAAAAGCCAAAATTTTTTGCTATACCGTTCCTTTGGCATTTTTTATGTTTCAAGTTTTTGAGGAATAGACAGGACACATATTTTTATGCTGAAAACATTTTGGAAGCTCTCTTTTATATGGTTTAAAAACTACAGAATATCAGTATCTCTAGCAGAAAAGATATTCAAGAAGTGCCATTTAAAATTGTAAAGAAATCAGGGTTTTTGAACCTAATGAAGAAATCAGAAGGCAATGATTCATTTAAATTATTTAGCCTGACATGTTTACTGTTCAAAAATATTATAAATGTTTCTCAGAAAAAATATATTGTGTTCAAAGGGTAAAAAATATTTAGTTTTTACCCAGACATTTAAAAAGAATATATTGTAGAGTAGTAATCCACAATACTGTGAAACCGTGATATTTTTATCCAAGGCTGCCATATTATCATAATCTTATACCGGCTCATGCCTTCTGTACATACTTGCCCCTCAACATTTTTATGTAGTAAAATACTAGAAACATAAGCATTTAAAAATAATTACTTCAAAATGAGTCTTTTCAGGATGGGTGTGTTTAATTCACATTGTCAAACATCCAAGTATCATCAAGTTATGTTTACAAAGACCTTATTTTTATCATCAGTGGAAAAACATAATTCAAAAAAAGCCACAGCGAAATCTGGAGGGAACAGGCAGCGGAAAAGTCTTTTGTGTTTTGACATTACGACCGAAGCAGTCTATTGAAGTAAAACCAAATTTGACTTTTATTTATCAGCCATGAAGATTGGCCAAGAAAGCTGCTCTGTATCTAAACCATAACACCCAAGACACATGAGAAATGTTTGTGAAACAGACCCATTTCTTTCCTTCTTTTTCTGTATTTGCCCTCTAGTGTGTTTTCATGCGTTCATTTTTCTCATTAATAGTCTAATATCATACAGACACATTTTATTTGTTTTCAGAAATTATGATCACTTTGTTAATAGAATTTCCAAATGAGGCACATTTGACTACTTTTGCAATATTGTGTTAAGATCCAATGCATATTACATGCATATGGAATTGAATTACTGTGAAGTCTTTAATACAGCATCATTAATCTGTTTTTTTTTTTCTTTTTCTCTCTCTTTCTCTCTGCCTTTTCCACCCTTTCGTGAATGCAGAAGTGGAACAGAAAGGTAGGTCCATTACTTTAATGTAATTTAAGTGTGTAATTCACTGTCAGGCTGTTATGGTGTTATTCGATACTAATGACAGATTGGCGATCAGTAGCTCATAATGGTTTATATTGGGAATGCGAAGGAGAAACTTGATCTGAGACCAGGGCTCTAATCTCTCTGAATTAGACCTCTGTTTCTCACTGTCTCATCTCTCTTGATCTCTCTCAGTGTATCTGGTGGTTTGCCGTGTATCAAATGAACAGGGAGGTGTTGCTGCTGTTAAAACTTAAGCTGGCGATTGTACTGACCACAAGACGTGGCAGTGTGAAACTGATGTCTTGCGATGTGTGCTTCTTGAATGGCCTGGGGTGAATCTAAACCTTAACATAATAACATTTTCTGCATAGCTGGAGATGATGCATGAACAGTTATCAGAGACACAGGGAGCCTTGATTCTGAAGAGAATGAAATGCGTGTTAAACAGCTAATTTTGAATTAACGATAACAGAAAAAAAACAGTAATTTTAAATGTGCTTAGTAAGAAGCTTTTCAAGGGGCCTCAATCATGCAACATTTGTAAAAATAGGAGTAAATTACGTGTACTTGTGAAAAACAAGAGGAAACACTTTTTAAGCATCATGGGGCCGGCCTATCATACATCCGGTGCAATAAGGTGCAAGATGTGTATGGCGCAATTTGTTGCTAATTTTTAACCAGCACAACCCTACTTTTCACGTATTGCGCCATGTTGTAAATCCATTGTGCACTACTTTGTGGACTCATGGGTGTGCCAGTCTAAAAAGAAGGTGTGTTAAGGTGCGTTGTTGGTGCATTGACTATGAAAAACTGAAATAGACTGCATCATTGACCATCTAAAAGCAGGTCTAAAGTCCAGCTTGTTAGTTACTGTATGTGGGTTTAAATGCTTACACATTGCTTAATACACACAGGATGTAGAGCAACGCACAAATATCTTTACAAATGAAAAAAGTAAAGGATTAAAATGTTACAAAAATTATTATTTTCTACATAAATATAAAAACAACTGCCTCTATGCTTTTTTTTTCAGTTAATTCAGGACAATTTACATTTGTATAATGTTGTTATTATTATTATTAGAGGTATTTATTATATGCAAATTAATATTTGTTTTAATAAAAACAAGTAAAGAAGTTTTTACTCATCCTGTCCTATAAGAATAGGACGTGTGTTTGGATAGAACTGCATAGTTTTTTTGACCAGACTTCGTTATTATTGTTCATTTAATCATTTGCTGGAAATTAAAAGTGAATTTAGAAAAAGTTTAGCAACAAATGTTTGTGCTTAACAAACTAAATTATATTTTATAGGCTAATAGATGTATTTAGTGGAGTGCATACAACACCATTTCCTTATCCATGAAAGTTAAGTAAAGAATAAAAGTAAAGTAAAGAGAAAGTAAAAAGGCCGGAGAGGAGGCTCGTTTTTCATCATTGCACAGGTTGTTTGTCTAAATGTTTTTTGACTAGTAAAGCATTCAGTTTTTTCACTTACAAAGCCCACCGTGTAAATAGCAAATGCGCAATGACGTGACGCTACTGACTCTTAAAGGGAATGGGAGATGCGACTGTTTAATGCACGTTATGCTCAACACACCCATAGCTCATTGAGTCAATAAGCACAACCCTGTATTTTTTTTTTAAAGTGAATTCAGACACACCCTTAATGCTTTTGTGCCATGCGCTTCAGACTTAGTGCCTAGATCATTAAAATAGAACCCTGTATTCCATAGTTAATCGTTTTGTTAACACTGGGACTACCAGAATTCTATAACTGTTACAATGCCAAATTTTTGTCATGTCATATTTACAGTACATTCAAGGTTTCTACTGAGATTTGAATGTCTGTTGGTATATATGGTCATAAACCTAAAAATATTATACTTGTAATACATGTAATAGCCTATAACTTTGTACGAGTTACTTAACTGCTTCCGAATGTGAACACTAAAACTTTGTCCGGCAAGCAGGAGAGCAACTTTTTTTGCAACTCAGGAATAGGTGCCCAGCAGGGCTAACTTAAAAATACGTGGTTCCAGCGATGTCTTCCTACAGCTCATGTTGACAAGTCCACCACAGGACGCTGTATACATTTTGAGAAGCTTAAATCCTGGCCTTCATTTTCTTATATGTTCCGTTTACACGCTCTTTTCGTAAGTCCACCAGAGGCCGCTGTGGACATTTCTGCCAATCTCAAATACATTACTGAGTTACGTTTTCTCATATGTGCCATTTACACATCTGTTTCATGCACATCTGCTAGAAGCTGACTATATTATTTCACCTTATGAATGACTGACCCACACAATCCCTTCCATAAACCCAAACTGTTTTCTAAAGCAAATAAGAAACAGAACTGAGGCACACATATTCAAAAGCAAAGGGCAAACGTAATGGATGCTGAAATGCATGTAGTCAATTTAAGCACACTGTTCATTCCTCTGTGGCGACCCCTAATAAATAAGGGACTTAGCCAAAGAAAACTGAATGATTGTTCGAATGAATTTGACCACAATGGCCATTCAAGGTATAGTATAAATAATCGACTCTTTTGTGTTTTGTAATAAAAATAATTTAAATAAAATAACAAGAATAAAATATATACACATTTGACAAATGTCAGTTCACTAAACACTGTCAGAAATAAAGGTACGAGAGCTGTCACTGGGGTGGTACACATTTGTACTTAAAGGGTCCATATTGGTACCTCAAATGTATATATTTGTACCTAAAAAATTTAAAAGGGAACACTTTTGTACTTTTTAGGTACCAATATTTACCCTTAAGGTAATAATATGGACTTTTTAGATACAGATGTTTACCTTTTGAAAAGGAACTACCCCAGTGACAGCTCATGTACCTTTATTTCTGAGAGTGTAGTTTTATGGGTTTTATTTTAACAAGGGTATTGAATTACAAACTTTAAAAATGGGTAAAATCACTTCCTCAGAAGATCTATTAATGAATTCTTGTCATTTGTAAATAGAGAGTGTGTGTGTGTGCATGCTCATTTACAATTAGCATAATCTCCACTGATTAATTACAACGACTGTATGTACATGTTCACAAACACAGTGGAATATTCTGGACTCTCTTCAAAGGTTTGACTCCAGTATATCACGTAAATGCAAAAAAGACATACTGTATGCCTAACAATAAATATTTATTTAACATGTGCATATTTAGTTAGCTCCACTGTGCTTTTTTCAGCGGAGACGATTCGATTACTAAATCATAATCCATGACAGTAACGTATTAATAGTAACTCATTTTGAAGGATATCACTGAATATGAAAATGCAGTAATCAGTGATATGAACTCCTCCTTTATTGTTCAGTCATTGTACAAGTACAGTAGGAAGTTTGGTTGGTGTATTTGTCTCATCTCTCTTCCACTGATTAAAGAATTGGGTAAAAAGTGATGATGAGTGCTATATTTTAGTTCAGTGGTTATTAGCTCTCAGCTAAAAATAAAAACAGACTAAACAAACTGGCAAAATATTAACATGTTATCAGTTTAATAAAATGAACACTAAGGATTTACACAGCATTAACTTGTGGTGGAAAGCAGGTGTACATTTTGTTTACCAGCTAACATTTTGATAAGTCATATCTTCAACATTCTTCATGAATCCAAAAATGTATATCAGAACAGCTTTTAGGATTTTTTTACTCCAAAAATGCATTTTGCATATGTTTTTGAATTGATTTTAATACTTGAATGCAAGTTGAAAATGTGTAAAAAACATAACAATCTGACAATAAGTAGGTGATAAATAAATATATAAATTAAATGAACACAAATGTACTTGAGTTTATCAAAGGCCAAAAGAAGTTCCTGGATTGAGGCATATTGTTGAAAATTAATGCTTCCAAAACAATAAAAGGAAACATCCCGTAATAGTTAAAATACCAGCCACACTTCCCATGAGGATGTCGCTCAATCTGGGAACTGGATGGTGGGAAAGGGCAGGCAGGCATTTCGTGTGAATGTTTGTGCGCTGATCCCTGTTTGTGTGTCACCATGTAAGGATATCTGCATGCTTTGCTGGAGTATCATTATAAATCAAAGAGAGAGAAAATAGTAGCTGTTCACACACACACACAAACAAGAGTTCAGTCACAAGACCATAAGATACCCACATCACAGCCTGGCCTTCAGTACTGATGGTGGCGAACCCTGATTTTAAGCCGGTCTCGACTGTGTTTATTGGTCATTGATTTTTCACAGCACTTCAAAATGCCATTAGAATTAAAAATAGAAAACAGAAGTTCTGTTTTTGCCTGACACGTAGTGTGGCTTATTTCACCCAGCAGAATGAAGCATCACAAGCCATAATTCTGCAGGACAAATTAAGCTTGATTTGCATAATGCCTAACAGATGATTATTTTTGTCTTCACATTTAATGTACCAGCAAAAATAGGGTGATGATTCTTAACCACCCCCCACATAAATCCTCACACCGTGTGAATTTTCCTCAGGGTTAGAGAAGTCAGAGCGGCAGATTTTCTGAATCTCCTGAGGGATTCTGCAGGAGTCATGAAGTATAAATCGGGTTACTAGTCATCAGATATGATTTAATAGATGGCCTTCTCTCTTTGGCTCAAAGCATGTAGCTTTTCGAAGACTTTGGTTGTGGATCATTGCATTTGTTAATGTGTTTTTTTTTTGTCAATAACATACAAGAGACTTCACATTAAAGTGAAAGGAAAAGAAAGTCTAGTTCAAAACACAGATGTCAAGATATGGACCTCAGTGTTCATGCTAATACTACTGTTTATAGAGATTTTTTTCAACACATTTCTAAACATAATTGCTTTAATTACTCATCTCTAAAAACTAATTTATTTTATTTTTGTCATGATGACAGTAAATAATATTTGACTAGATATTTTTCAAGACACTTCTATACAGCATAAAGTGACATTTAAAGGCTTAACTGGGTTAATTAGGTTAATTAAGCAACTTATTGTATAACG